ATGCTGTGTACGATGACATTACATACAAACATACAATCTAAAGAGAAATGGGCACAAGATATATTTTGTATTTTGTAGGATGGAATATTTATATGTGATAATATCGACGGTACTGCCCAAACAATAACAACAGCACAGTAGAAATTTAACAAGAGTTCTACGTAGCCTTTCATAGTCCACACAGATGGAGTGGTTACTACCTACTCATGGGCACTGCCCGTGTGTGAAGTTCTGCCTTGGAGGAATTGCCTATGGACTAGTGGAGGAAACAGAGAATGGATCGACACCTACTTCTAGTAGTTGAGAAGACCCACTCAAGTCTTAATGTACCTGAGGAGGAGATGGCAGCTTTAATTTATGTTTGCTACTGTATAGCGATGGTTCTATGTGGTGACCTTGGACTCCAGCCCAGATAGGAGAGGACCAGAGAGCTGACAATGGGGCAAGCAAGGGTGAAACGAAGACATGTGGCCCTGTTCACCAACTGTGCTCTTACAGTTTCCGGGCAGGAAGAGTTGTCTGGAACCCGATGCAGAATTTTGATGTGCTGGGTCCAGAATCATTCTGGAATATCCCTCCTAATTTATGTAGAGTTAAGGAAACATACTATGAAATATTAAGTGAATAATTTTAGTATTAAAAGAGGATGTCTATAATGGCAGGGAACTAGAAAAAGAGGTAACATAAAGAAGACTTGTTCATTGAAAAGTATGTAATTAGGAATGTTTGTGATGGGTGCTTTTGTTCCAGAATTTACACTAAAAAAACAGAGAGACACTCTTTTTTTAAAAAGTGTCACTTCAGAAAAACAACTTCAAAATATGTCTACAGTCCTTGTATTCTCTCATAAAATTAAAGCATAAATACTTTAGACATGACTACTGCAAAAGTGATTTAGGACACTAAGTCAACAAATGATTTTTCTTGCTTAAAGAAATGTATACACCCTTTTTGGAGGAGTAATAACTCACACTTTTCCAAACTGATTATTCCCTAGAACAGGAACTGGGACAATGTCATAGTTTTTGTGCCTTCTAAACTAATGGGTTGGATATTAGCCAATGACAGAATGGTGAAAGGTGTGGCCCAATGGACATATTCAGTCCTGGAGATCCTGCTCCTATGAATAGAGTACATGGCTATGAGAAATAAATTTCTGTCATTCATAAATAATCTGTGGTATCTATTATAGGAGAACCAAGCATAAAAGAGCTAACATCTTAATCATAATAGTAATAAATGATCATGTTACTTATTAATGTATTTCCTTTTAGATTATACATTTTACATGTACTTCCATTACTACAGAAAATGAAAATAAATAGCTATGTCTCCCTTAGAGTCGTCTACAAGAGATATCTACCTATAGTTTGAATTCTATATCTCTCCATTGTATTTTTCTTACCCACTGAAACTAAGAAATATAATTATTGGGGATCTATTTATACTCTCATAAATTTATAGTAGCACTTGAGAAAATCTCCTTACATCTTTGAGGGATAGTTAAAACATGCTACTAACAGGAAGTTGTAGTTGTTCCTATGGAGTGTTGATCCCCAGCTATTAACATGTTTTATTAGAGCAACCCCCCTCCCCCCACACACACACACAACATACAATTGATTGTCATTGTGATTGTGTTCCCACCAGAACCAGATGGCTAAACCCTACTGTTGAAGACACCCCATGTTCTATAGGCAGCAGACAGGTAAATCAAGCTGGAAATAAGATGAAAGTGGTTTCTCTGCTGGATCACCCCCAGAGTGTAAGAAGATGTAAGCTGAGGAAATGTAAGCTGAGGAGAATTGTAAGCCATGTAAGAATGATAAGAAGTGTAAGCTGAGAGAGAATTGATATCAACATTCGTACATATGTATGTGTGGAATCTATGTCCTATACTACCTACGGATGAAGCAAAATGTGTCCACTGGTACAACAGACATAGTACAATAACCAACTGGTAACTAATAGGGGATTTATGTTGAGTACTGTGGACATGGTCTGAAGTCCATGCTTAGAGAGATCATAGGTCCTAAAAGGGAAGTCACTGTTGGTGTTTTGGCAATTGAACATGATATGCCAATCAACATGCCTCTTAAATAATTACATTTATCCCTGTAGCTTAGTGTTGCTGTCAGCTTTGCTCAGAGACGCTTCTTTTTACAGTGGACAAATTGCAGAGACTCAGAATTTTTCCAGGACTGCAAATAAGTGACTGCATGCCAAACTGGACATCCATATCACTCCCTTCAAGCCTCAGGGCAAAATGTGCAAAGAATGCAGGTGGTGAGAAGTGAACTGCAGTGCACTAGAACAGTGGCTTCTGGACATGGCACCGAAACTGACAGCAATTGTGATTACCTATGCAAGACCAGCCACAAGTTTGTGCCCATCAACCTCCTATTCTGTAGAGGGGTAGGTGCTCATGAGGCCTTATCTCTCTGTGAGGAGTTCTAGGCATGTAATGGTAGCTTTAGGGAGGAGACATGAGATGCCACCTTCCCAGAGGATCTAAAGGCACTTAGTGGCTCCTGAAGGATGAAGAAAATTTTTCATCAGTAGTATAACCATTGGTAAGATACTCATGTTCCTGGAAACATCTTCTTACCTATGCTCTTCTAAGAAAACCTGTTCTAATACATTGAGAAACTCTGTGTGTGTCTCTCTGTCTCTCTCTGTCTCTGTCTCTGTCTCTCTCTCTCACACACACAAACACACAAACACACAAACACACATACATGCACACACACATGCAGATGCAAACAAATGTCTTAAAAGTAAAAGGACTAGTTGGGAAGAGCAAAGAGGTCAGCAGGAGTAGGAAGGTACAAGAGAAGTAATAGGGATCAAAATGATAAAAATACCTCTGATGGACAGATACATATGGAGACAGATAGATAAACTATAATGAAATTCACTATCATGTATAATTAATAAATACTGATAATGACATTAGAAAGTATCATATAGAAATACTGAGAACATGTGATATATGATATTGACTGGACTGACAGAACATGCTCACTGGTAAAATAGTGGCACAAATGTCATGGGAGTAACCAAACACTTCCTAATTGGATTTAAGTTCTGCTCCTCAAGACTGAGATTGTGAATTGACAGGTAAATAGACTGAAAATAAAATACCAGAATTCAAAGTGAAACAGATGTCAATTTAGCAGTGCATACAGACCTATGAAACTAGACAGACCTATTAGCTGCTTAGGGAATGTTCATCTTTAGTCCAAAGTTCTTCAGAAACCTACAACTGCAATGTGAAATGAATACTTATTTTTCTCTTCACCATTGATCACCTTCATTCAGTCTTACAAAATTATAGCAAACACTGTACTCTAGTCATTTCCTTATTCATCCTGCTTTGGTTAGTCTGGATGCCTAAGACATTTTCATCATGAGTTTCAGAAACCACAGACATAATAGTGAGCAGCTACATACACCAGAGTATGATGGTTAATGCTTACTACCAAACAGACTGGAATCAGGATTACCTAGTAAAGCATGGGAGTTTTTTCAGAAAGGTTTTAGTGAAGAGAGAGCATCCTTCTGAATGTGGGTAGCACAGTCCCATGTACTAGTATCCCATAGTGAATAATACAGGGGAAAGGAGAAGGCCAGCAGGGTGCCCACTTTGATCTGTCTACGTCCTGTCTGTGGTCACATGTAGCCTCATATCCTACCTCCTCCTTTCCAACCATTATTGGTGATGGACTCAAATTAATAACCTTTTGAAACTGTAGGCCTCAAATGAGTTCTTTTTTTTTTCCTCTTGGTTGCCTTGATCATGGTGTCTTATCACAGCTATAAAATGTAACTAAGACACATACCTTAAATAAGGCTTTGCAAATAGAAAACAACATCCTGCCCATGATGTTAACCTGGTCCACAAACACAGGGTGTAAAGATTCCTGCCAAAAATTCATTGCAATCAAACAAGAAGTGAATAATATTAAATACTATGTATTTTAATTCTCACCTTGGGGCTGGGAACAAAGAGCCAACCAAACTCACAATGTAGCTTTCAGAATAAAGTGTCTGTAGAGCCTAAGAATAGAATTTCTGTCACACTTCCACCCATGACAGGCTATGGTGCTGTCTCTCACAAGTGGACTGTGAAAGCAGTGAGACAATTAAAAATGCAATTGGGGATGAATCCACAGGGGATGTCAGAGCCCTGGGGGTGGAAAAACATAAGTCCTTAATTCATAGTATGGAAGAGAAGCAGCCTCTATACAGCCTTCCTGCCTCAGTCTATCAATGATTAACAAATTGCTCTGGCATTCAGTCAGAGAAATGTTGGAATCCATTTACCATAGTGGTACTGTTTCCTTGGCCAAGAAATCTTCCTACAGATGTAAAGTACCCAAAATACAACACCAAACAGACGGCAGAGAAGTACACTATGTTTCAGAACAGAAAGTTAAACCTTATACACGGTCCCAAGAAAGACAATTTACTTGTAATCAAGTGACTATAAAAAAGTGTTTTTAGAAGATATAAATCTCAAACTAACTAACTGAACACTTTCGGCCATGAATTAATAACTACTCCTCCATATGCAGTTGCTACTGGAAGAGTAATTTTTAATAACATTATACATTAGCAAACAATTTGCATTCTATCAAAACATTCATCTTAGTAACCTACAGTTCTGTATCATTTTGGGGGTGGTAGCGAATAAAATTTGTGATTTGGCATTTTTCATTCCCAACAAGTTGACTTCAGGAAAGCCTCCCTTTGTATAAAATTATACGTACTTTGCATTCAGGACAAGTATTAATTTTGTTAAGAAGAGTTTCAAGTATAAATCAGGTTACTCTGGACATCTTTTGAACGTCTTACATCTTAATTCAGGTCACTTCCAATTTCTTTCCCACATCTGACTGAATGTCCCAATTCCCTGGCTAGGTTTAAAAGGAAACAAACACAGCTACTTCCAATGGCAACTCGAAGCACAGAGAAAGCAGGGAGCACAGAGCTTGTACCTGATGCTGCTCATGCTGCCTGTGTCCGAGCCAAGCTTGCATCGCTCCAGCTGGCTGGCCACGATCTGGCGTTCAGCCTCCAGCTCTCGGGTCAGCCTTTCAAACTGTAATTCCTGAAAGAAACCCACCAAAAAGATGAATAGTAGCAAATACATGAAACACAAAGTTTAGAACCAAGATGGCAGATGACAGATGGGGAAAATAAGATTTTTCAAGGCATCAACTTTGAGAAACAGAGAGTGCTGCTGTATAATAAGGTAAGGGCCTGAAAATTAGACAGATGTGTAAGACACTGGCCCCAAGATACCAATATAAGTTATTTATTATCAGTTTCATCAAGTTTAAAATGGGCTAAAATACTAATTTCATAAATAGGAAGTGAAAATTAAGTGAGATACACAGCTGAAGCACTTTTCATACATATTTAGTTACAATTTTTATCTTGTTTAAGAAGCAAAATTGTAAGAAGTCACATATTTAAGAAAAATTTTAACAGTTATTATTTTATAATCTCATGTTTAACTATTTCAAAAATTAAATTATCTGCACAGTTATATTTCAGGAATGAGAAAGAAAAATATTGAAACCTAGATATAGGGTAGACGTAGACTTTTATAGAATTAAAACCTCTCAAAGTTTAGTGGGTTTGTTTTTTCAACATAGTCAATAATCTTACCAGCCGCCTTAAGATATTTTTGTATGAAGTTTTTATATCACAGGTTGTAATGGTTCCTTTGTTTTATTAAAAAAACAAAACAACCCCCCCAAAACCTATTGCTCATAAAAGTGGAAATTTTTTTAAATGTTGACATTATTTGGAGTTTTAAGCACAAGACACTTTGTAAATGAGAGACCTCTCTTCCTACCACAGTGGTAAAGCAAGATGGGCAAGAATGACGGTCAAGTTCAGTCTTTCCTTCACACATTCTGGATGGAACCAACTACTTCTGGTAAGAACTGAACATGAAGACCCCTATTGGATGAATCTCTGACCTATATCCTGGCCTCCTCTCTAAAGATTTATTTCTTTGGAAGTTCACCCTCCAATTTCTCATTTCTAGTATTTAAATAACATTGTGTCTTAAGTCTGCCCATACTACAGAAAACTGAATCATAATTCTGTATTGAACACACCTTTAAAACAATGAACTTAAAGACCACACAGGGTTGTTCGTAGCCAGACAGAAGTCTATGATTTGTGTTTAAAATGCTGTATTTCATCTTCTCCATAGAAGGCTACTATGGTAACACAGTGCAACTATCTAATACACAGTTCAAAATTAAGTGACACACACAAAGAACACACAGCTTCTTGTAGCTGCTCTCATAGTACGCTCTCTTCATGCCATTCCAACAGTCAGGAATGATGGAAGACGGTTAATGGTCAAGAGAGATGGGAGAGAATGTGCTGAGGAGTGAAGTAGACAGCCAATTGTCAAAAGTGATGGGAGACACTCAACAGTCAGGACCATGGGAAACAGTATCTTGACCAAGAGTGATGGAAACAGTCAGGAGTGACCACTGATGACAATAGCCAAGAGCAAAGAAAGACAATCAAATGTTGGGAGTGATGGGCAGCAGCATCATGGCAGGGAGTCACAGGGGACAGTCAATGGTCAGGAATGATGGGTAACCATCTCTTGTCAAGAGACAGTGGCAAATTTTCATTTGAAAACTGCATTATGAAACAGATAGTAAGAATCTTCAGCACTTGGCATCCCTTTAAACAGGCACACCATCCACCTTTCTGAAGAACACCTTTGAATATTTCCTATATTGTGTTTTTTTAAGAGGGAATGTACTTTGAATATGCCTTTTACACTATTTTTTTTTAATTTAAAGTTTATTTTTTGAGAATTTCATACCTGGGTACTGAATTTACATAATTTCTACCCATCTTTCTCCCTTTCAACAATTTCATGACCCCTAACTGTTCTCAAATTATTGACCTTTAATTATTGTTGTTAAATACATATGTCTATAATCTGCAGAGTCCATTCAAAGTTGCTCATTTGTATGTATGTTTAGGGTTGACCTATACCACCCTTGGCATCTACCTAAAGGATTTAACATCATACTACACAGATAACTGCCCAGTCATGTTCATTGCTACTATATTCACAGTATCTAGGAAACAGAAACAACCTAAATATATCCTACAGCCAACAAACGGATCAGGAAAATATGGTACAGGTACATGATGGAAAACTATTCAGATGTAAAGAAAAAAGAACTCATTTTTAAAGGCATTTTTCCATAATGTTTCTCATTTATAGTATCTCAGACCAAAATTTTATAAAAGTCTATATTTGCCTTAACTTTATCACATTATAGGTATGGTATTTTTTTCTCTGCCTTTAAGATCGTTTTATCCATCACTGATCATGTGAAACTTAATAATGTTCCTTGACATAATTTTTACTTATAATTCACTGAGCTGATCAGATTTGTGAATTGCTAACTTCCATTATTTGCATGAAAAATTAATCTTTATGAATGTTCTTCACTGCATGCTTTCCTTCAGTGAGAATACAATATGTTACTTAGAACGGACCCTCAACTCACAAATTGTTTATTTAAATTTTCTTTGTGTTTCATTTTATATGTTCTCTGTTAGTATAGTCAAGTTAAATAATCTTTTCTTCTGACATGCTCAATATTTCATTAATTCTTCCCAGAGTATTTTATCCCAGACTCTGGCAAATAAAAATCCCAATAGCTTTGGGTCGTTCAACTAGGATTCTTGTTAGGACAGAGGAATACACTTGTGTCACTATTATGATGTCTGTATTTGTTAGTTGCAGCATCTTGTGACAGGTCCAGTTTGCTGACTTCTCTCTTCAGTGTGGATCTCAGCCCAGGCTCCTCTGCACATATAGTTACCTTTAGACACGAAATGTTCTGTAGTTTCCTCTTTTGGGTTCTGTATATCTTCATGTTCCTACAAATATTACCAGTCATTTTCTGAGGCATTATGAAGTCACTAGAAGACAATTTGCTTCCTTGGACGCTTTCCTTTAAGATTTGCTTGGAAAGCAGGACTTTCAACCTATTGTCAATCATCCTCCAAGACCCTTTTGGAATTCTATTCAGTATTTCATAAACAGAGGGCATCCCTAGCCCTACTAAAGGAAGCTGGTATGTATTGCCAGCTCTGACCAAACACCAGAAACCGTATCCTCTTGTCTCTGTTCTTTAGTAACTTTTGTACTCCGATTCCCTTCTCTGCCCTCTGCTAAATAAGAGACTCTGCCCCCAAGGAAAGCCTTTTTTAATATACGAGCCTGGGAACTTCAGTGGCATTTGTTTACCTGTTTCCCAATACTGTTTCTGCCTTCCTATACCATAGACAGTATGATCATAGACAGTATCCCTCATTTCCCAAGAAAACAGTTCAAGGCTTATGAGGAAGGCTATTTCAGCCATAGTGCACCACTCCCTGGAGTGGAAACTCTCGGACTATCACCACCCTATTCTTGCATAGCCCTATATCAAGATTAACAACTGAGCTGCGAACAGCTGCAACCCATGAGAGAAGCAACCGGCCATTCAGTGGAGGGTTCATTTCTTCCTTGGCACTGGCCCTCCATTTGACCAAAATGCATCTGCATCTAGAGCAGCCACTATCTTCCCAGAACGGAGGTGACCCTGTGGCCGTGGGGGATACTGTCAGGGTGGTGGGGGTGGAATGATGACGTGCTGGATTAGCATGCTGTTTGGAGGGAGAACAGATCTCTCAGGCCTAAAGAAGCTCCTAGGTTCTTTTCAGAGAATATGAGCTGCCAAAGCAATCAAGAAGAGAGACGGCACTAGTCCGATCTGGAGAGGGTGTAGGAGATCAAGTGGGAAAAGTAAAGAATGTAGGGAAGTAGACAACACTGGCTGTCCACAGCTACGTGGCACTGAATTAGTTTACTGAAGATGAGGCTTTCCTGAAATAGGACTGAGGAAATTTCTAGACTTGGAGAGCAAACTAAACAATAAAAGTCAGGCAGAGGGGCGGGGGTCTACAATAACTGTCTACTAAGACCTTCATCGGCACAGTTCCAGTGGAGAAGAAATAATAGAAATTAGGCTACAAAATGTGCAATATGGAAATCGGCCAGACACACCAGGATCTGATGAGAATCTTGTGCAAGAGTCAGATAGAATGGCCTAGAGTGAAGGATATTTTAAGAAATACAAAGTAGTGCTAAATATCCCTTTTCCTCCACTATATATGAGTTACCGTAATTCACAGGGAACAAACATTTGCAAAAACATCTGATCTATGACTCCCAAGTTTATTAAAATGTTCATGAGCAGACATAAACAGTCGTACTTTTAGAACAGCACATCACTGACTCATAATACATTTGGATTATGAAAATTATCATATAGTTTTATAACTTTGTCCTGAGGTGTCTAGGTTAATAATTTATTTCCTTTAATTAAATGGGCTTTATTAAATGTTTTTAAACGTCTAAAAGCATATAAAGCCTCCTGAGGGGGGCTTAGCTAGTCAGTATGAAAACTTAAATCAGAAAACTCGTAGTTCATCTAATTCCTCCAATAAATGTTTTTCATAGCATTGTGATGGAACACCAGCTGGAAACGGACGAACTGACTTTGAGGATGGTGAAAACGGAGACTGAGTCATGAATTAAATAAAATAAACTCGTGATGATTTTACTAGTCCTAATAGCTACTTTTAGAAGTGCTGATAGACGTTCAGCAAAACTTCCAGCGAAGTATAAAGTACAGTACCACAGTTCTACAGCATATCTTAATGTTTTCATTTCTTATTTTACAATTTTCCTTCTGACTAGTTTCCTTGCTATTCACATACTAAAATCTGCACCTGTCCCCAAGTTGCTTCTATCAACCATTCTTTTTTACTTGTTCACTGTATCATCTTCTGCTTCCCCATGTGTAAACACTCCTTCCTTTAATTATTTAGTTCCTTGCTGTTCCTGGGCTTATTAAATTATAGGAGATAAATATCATGCTATGAACAGTCCCCTTAATTATCATCTGGTATTTAATTTATGAGTATGAGTTCGAATTTATTTCACCCTTCCATTATTTTAGTGCTTTTTCTTTGTCTCGATTGTATAATGCTTTTCTACATGTG